CACCACCTGCTGAACTGATAAACTAGATCACTGATAAGGGTGTCAGTTGAGACTGAAGTTTGTTTTGACAAAGAAACAGTAAAACTAAGCCATCACAACTACACGGCAGAATCCAACTACTGCAAAACCTAGAAGAGAGTGCACCAAATAGCACTATCAAAGTCCCACTGTCACAGCTAAAAGAGGGATTAACCACAACCTAAACATACAAACTCAACTGTTTTGCATAGAAGAGGAGTTGTTGTTTTTTTTTTTTTACCAGTAAGGCTTCTGCCAAGCTCCGAGGGGAAATTTCTCTGGCTTCCTCTCCTCCAACAGGCAGGGTCCGTGGGGTGTAGCTGCCATTCATCAAGAGCTGGAAGTACCTGAGGCGATTCTCACCTGCAGAACAGCAAACATACTCATGCCACGGTCTATAAAGCGGAATTCCAGCACGCTTCAGTACAACTGATCGGGCATGCTTTGAATACTGAAGCAAAATCTAAACATTTGTAATAAGGGGCTGTCTACACTTGTGCAGGTTTGGGATACACTGAAGCAAAATAACATTACCCACACTGGTTATTAGATTTACCATTAACACAAAGCATTAAGCACCATTATTTAACATATGCAAACTATATTTCTCTCTAAGCCTCATTTATGGAAAAAATACCTTATAGTAGATTTTTTTTTTTTTAAATCAGTCATTATTTTAATAACTACATGAGCACAACAGGTGAAAACCATTGTTCCCAACTTAATAATAATTACATTTAAATTGTGTTAAGGGAAGTTGCTGCACCTAAAGTAAGCATCATTCTCAAACAACAGAAGGTTTTTTTTTTTCTATGTTAAAGTGCTGCAGGTGGAAAGAAAAAATAGCTAAAATAGTTTTTGAAGAGCAAGTCATTGAGGGGATCTGATCAGGGACTGAGACTCTAACAGATCGGTTAGTGTTTGTTTATGGGTTGAAATTAGGCACAGTGGGAGTACACAGCACCCTCTGCTCTGGGCTTGTGGGAGCAAGCTAACATTCACTGAAATTCAATTACCAAACGTTACTAGGCAACGCACGTAAATGTATGCACGTGACTGCCTTACTCCTATAATGACTCAAAACAAGACAACACTTTACTTTGACGACTATTTTTTTTTCTACAGTAGAGAGAGAGAGAGAGAGAGTGCATAAATGCGGCTTACAAGTCGTTTCCTTGAAAGTCTGAATCACTGTTTACCTTTCGGGTCCAGCTCCACGTGGATGATGTTTCCCATAACAGACGTGTCGTGGAGCGACTGCACGGCCACCTTTGCAGCTTTCACGGTCTCAAAAACAACTTTGGCAATTCCCAAGTGCTTTTTATTCTTCGGATTGTACAAGATCTCCACTTCCTCGATGTCTCCGAATTTCTTGCACATATCGGTAAGAAACCCTTCCCTGATGTTGTCGTTAAGCCGGGCGAACGTCACCTCCTTTGGAGGCACGGGGCCGATGTAGCACTCATCGATCTGCAATAAGGAGGAAAGGAGTTACTGTCACAGGTGCTTTTCCCTGTTAATGCTGCACCATGTGCGACCTGACAGTTGATTATGAGGACAACAGTGGCAGAGGAGTAACTCTGAACGTGCAGATCCAGTCAGCCATATGCACGTGGGTTATTCTAGTGACATCCATCCGACAATCAAACTTGCATACTCCACGTCCCAAAGATGACCGAGGGGGTGTGTCTGCAACTTCTGACAGCCCCCCCCCCCCCATCCCCCCTATTCCTCAAGGAAAAAAAAAAGCGGGCAACATGCTGGGTTTCTGTCGGAGCAGGTACCTTAAATTTCGGCACAGGTAGGTCCGTTTCTTTATACTTAGTCCATAGACGACCGATCCTCGGGTCCCGGACCATGTCCACTGGTGGCATCCCGGGGTTCTGTTTGAGATGAGAGGAGAGGAGGAGAAAGAGGGAGGGAGGGGGGGTACAGTGTTATCATCCCATTCACAACTTTCACACAGCGAGAACTTGTTGCAAAAGTACTTTTTTTTTTTAACGCAAACCGGACGCGGTGTTTGTCCGACATGAGCACCGCCGACATGCCGCAACACACGACACATTGTAACCCCCCCCCCACACCCCCCCATTATCATGGAGGGTCTTGGCTTGCTCGGTTTACTATTGTAGCCGATCCGCGGCGGTCCACTCACGGGCATGTTGAAAGTCTGTCCGTCGTAGCGATACAGCTTGTGGGATCCCTTCTTCAGCGCCGGGTCGATTATCAACTTGTAACTTCTCCAGTGGTGACTCCGCTTCTCCGCCGAGCCGCAGACGGGATGACTGTCCATGCCGTTCGCCAGACCTGAAACGACAGGCAGCGACAAGGAGAGAGGAGCTATCGTGAGGCAACGCCAAACACGGTCCCGTTACCAGCCGCCCCCCCCCGATCCCAAACACTTTACAACAGTCAAACATTACAGATGCATGACTTTGTGTGTAAGGGGGAGCCCCAGAGTGAGAGGGGAAAACGGGATCTAGCGTAGATCCCAGTTACGGAAAACAGGCATTAGGAGGGCTGGAGAAAGAGGGGAAAAAAGAACAAGCTTACTTGAACTCTGCTTTCTGCCATGGTCTTCGTTCAATCTGTTCCTCTCCCCTGGCTTGGACATGTTTTGTCCGATCGAGTGTTTTTGTTTCTGTAATTGACGAAAAGACGAAATCGCTCTCCCTTTCGCCGCTTACATTACATGATTTAGCTTGAAGAATACAGCCTCCTTTTCGGCTACAGCCAACACATATTGTGTGCCTCTAGTCTGTAGCTTCTGTCTCTCCCACAATACACCGCTAGGCTTTGCCTTACCTCACACGACAGTCGCACTTTCGTTAACAGAAAAAATATTTGCCCTTTCCATCGGCCACTGAGTGGTACTTTTGCCACACAGGACGTTGTTTTGTTTTGAAACTACTAACAAAGTGCCCGCTCGTTTACAAGCATTATAACGTTTAAATCATGGCCGCTGCTTTGACTCGATAAACCTCCATTCATTTTGTGTCGAATCTGCCGATTGTGTTTACTCCCAGTGGCAAACATCAAGATAGACACGGGGGGGGGGGGGGGGGGACTATCTTCATTAATTGCCACTAAAAGCAAATAAACACGACTTTTTTCCAAGGCTGTTGTGTTACATGCCAGTGAAATGTGCAAATATTCAAGCATGTCGGGCAACATTTAAAACAGAAGGGGAAGAGCTGCCTACAGACCTCGTTGTTTACTACATTACTTAACACGTAGGCTATATTCAATATTGTTTTGTTTTTTTTTACCTACAATTATATTTATTATTAAACACATGGAGTTTGCATCATTTAATTATTATAGAGAACTGCATTTTGTCGAACAAACTGGATATCGTTAGACATTGCATGGTGTTTTGCAGTGCTCGGGCAATTGGCTGGTTAACAGCGGCAGTTCGGCCGGCCAATCAGAGCGCAGCAGCAGAGGAGCTGTCTGCTATTAGAAGCACGGCTCAGGAGTCCTTCAACAGAGAGCAGAGAGAGGGGGCTGAGCGCTCTCGGCAGCCATTTTCCTAAAACAGGACTCAATGGCCTATATGGGTTTCCTTTGTTCCAAAAGGGATCTTACACTTGATTTCCTCATCTCTCACGGACTATGATAAAACTATGATTCCTCCTTTTAAAGGATTGAGAAGAAGGAAGAGAATGTTCTGGATGTAATACCCTGTGACATTTTGAGCCTTTTTTCCTCTGCCTGGAATCCATCTTTGTCTTAACTAGGTCATGGCACACCCATATAATAGTATTTATATTTCTTAAGTGAAAGAAACCAAATGTTTTGAATAAACAGCATTGTGTTTTTTTTTTTAATGTTAAACTAGAGGAAACAAACACAGTCAAAGTGAAAATGTGTAATGGCTGGTTGTTGGCATTGTACTTCTGGCCTTGTAGGATAAGAGTAGCAATGAGTAAGTTCAACTCTTTTATAACTTTCTTTTTTTTTTTTGGTAATTATCAATGTAAATGTGAGGCATGCAGTTACTGTAAGTAAAAAGTATTTTCTGTCATGTTATTCATTGAGCTATCACCAATTTTAACAGAAATGTTTGAATGTAGCACCTTTATTCCTTTATGTTCACTGGCATGCAGACATACAAAATTCAGATACAGTCCAGATTATATAGACTATGTTATCATACTCCTCAAATGACAGGTAAGAAGGTCGTGGATAACCAATGGCCTCTTGCAAATGAGTTTATTGTTCTGCTCGCAATTCTGACTGTTGATTGATAACCCTTTTGCTTTGATTAATGACTTTAAACATTTCCTTTCACAACAGCAAATGCTAAACACCACGATGGCTTGTGTTGTTCTCTACCTACATCTTTGGAGACAGCCTCAAGCATGATTAGGTTTGTGCTTTTCATTTGCCATTTAGGATCCAAAAGCGTCCAAAGTAGTAAACGACAGCTTGACCTTACTTCAAGGGCAAATGTAAAAGTCTAAATAAGTAGCCTGTAGTCAGGTGGCATTCAAGCATTTTATATAACGTCTAAAAATAAATTGTGACACATAAGAGGAAACCGATGGAGGGAAAGCTCATGTTGAAAATATTTACCTCAGCACTTTGGTGAAATGCAGTTAACAGGCCTAAACGAAGGGGCAGGAGGAATGTTTTCAGCTCCATCTTCGGATCCTCTATTAAATGCATTAATTAGGGGTGGGAGAGCGTCTCCTGAAAGGGAAGGAATCCATTAGCACGAAGATTGAGCTCTTTTTGGAAACTTTTTAATCAGTGGCAGGCATTGCCTCTTTTTTAGCAAGCGAATATTCATCTTCAAGCATCATCTGTGTGGGCAATAGCCTATGCAAACCATCTCCTCTCTCTCTCTCTCCCCCCCCTTGAAGACAGGATTGCAGTCAAGTAGCCTATAACTTATTCTATCTCGACATTTCTTACTGAGCTGCAGCATATAAAGCCCAAAGGAAATGTTTTTGGAAAGGTAATGGATTTTTAGCTATTTTTTTTTTATTTTTTTTTTTACAAACTATATACGCGTTAGTAGGCTATTATACTAGAGGACTGACAACACGGACATCATTTAATTGTGGTAAAACGCCAAAACTGTATTCACTTTTGTACATTTTAGCTTTAATTCCACATTCTTTGATTAATGTTGCAAACTTACAGTCAGGTTAGTAGGCTTTTTTAAAAATCTTGTAGCCTAGTAGAAGTCTTACACGAAAGAGAAAAAAAAAAAAGAGGAAAAAAAGAAATATATTGGGGGATGTTCTAGTTACATCTTGCTGCTTATCTGTGTCCAAACAAACCTTCTAGTGTAAGAAAGCTACCCATGTATTGTGGTTTCTCTGCTGTCCTCCCCTCTCAAAATGGCTTCTTTGCAGACAAAGGAGAACAGTGAGCTGTATAATGTTGCTGCGCCATAACTGGGTGAGGCTCATTCAGTCGGAAGGAGGATATTTGTTTTTACTGTGAGGACGTTTCTCGGTGATACATTCAGGAAGTCTTTCCAACGACCGTCATAAGGGGGATTTTTTTTTACTTGGACGGCGTATGCTCGAAAATAAGTATATAAGACGAAAAACAGTCGACGGTGCTTGTTTTCCTATTCAGACTGTCGGTTGCTAGGCTGACTCGCCCTGACGACGGCAGTAACCCGAGAGCTCTGGACGTTTGCCACGAGAACTCGGCGTGTTGCTGCACCCCCACACTGCCATATAAGGTCATAAGGAATCTACTTTAGTCCTGTTGGTTGCATCTGGCGAAAATAACATTGGGGGAGGGGAGGTGAGGGGGGGTGCTTTAGACTGCAGCGGGTGCCTGTTGGCTCAAGGCAAAGACCGTGTGGATCAACAACATTGTATGTTTTAAGTCTGCAGCTCAGTTACAAATTTACAAGATGCGTTTCTGTATTTTATCCGATATGGAGTTAAAAATGGAGCAGTGGGAAGTCTATGTTAGTAAATAGGGTGTTTAGGACCGTCTCTGTGTTGGCTCTAGGAAGTAGGCACTCTTTCTTTTTTTCCTTTTACGTAAAAACGTGTGTTTGGGCTATCTGGACACACAGTTGTGGTTGTGTGTGTGTGTGAGGCCTGTTTTTCCTGTTAGCCACTCCTAAGCTCTCTCCCGTGTGCAGGTCACGAGGCTGTACTCCTGTTTTCCACCTTGCTTTCTAGACACCATCTCCTGTTCAACGGGGATACAAATTTGAAGATGTGTGTAACAAATGCGAATATATTGCGCCCCCAAACCCTCCAATGAGGTTATTTATAGGCTTTTGTTTAAAAAAAAAAAAAAAAAAAAAAAACTCCCTTGTGGGTTGCGCCACTCAGCTTTGCGCGCCGCTGAAAGACTGGAAGATTCCACACAGAGGATTGGCCTTTCTCCTGCTGGACAGCTGTCTCTGCACTGCGAAAAAAAACCTATTTTTTTAACAAACCTTCTTTGTTAATTAATTTACAAAAAAAAAAAAAAAAAGAGGTTTACACGTGTGGATATTTCTTAAACCTACAGGACAATTTGATATCCTTTTTTATAGATTACCTTAGTTTGTATGTAAGTCTTATAGTTTCACCTCAAAAAGCACTTGTTTTTATTTTTTACTATTATACAGGCTCCTGTCATGGATTGTGTAACAAATTGTAGCACTTTGGGCATAAGGATAAGTATGACTATTTGGAGACAGAATAGCCAGGCAAACTGCTACATGCCATTTTATCTCTGTCTCTCTTGTACAGCCTGAAGGACTGTTCAGTGGATCAAACCAGGTTTCCTCGTCGCTTTGTTTAATGATTATATATGGGTACACTGGCTTAATCAAGGACCCTTCATGCAGATTGGTGGTACTGTACTAATGTCTTTCTTTCTCTCTAACTCTTATTTGCATGTCTAATATTTAAGGTTAATATTTCAGTGTAATTTAGTCTCTATTTCTTTACCATTTATATAATGTCTGTTTTTTATGAGATGTTTGAATAAATAGACTTTCCTAAATTCACTCCATGGTTTGTTGTTGTGGAAACTGAAAGAGGTAGAGTTTTTCTTTTTTGATGGACTTTTTTAATGCACTTTTTGTCAAAATATTTCCAACATTATTCAAAGCCTTTCCTGACCTTGAAAATACACCTCATCGTGCAGCTGAAACCCCCTTTCTGTTACTGTAGAAAAAGATGTGTGTATTTAGGTAAAATACTCAAAAGATAATGTGTTTTCTTAAAGGAAAAAGGCTAAAGGCTAGTGTTTGCTTAAGTTCTTAAAGGGACAGTTTTTTTTTACCACTCCTACTGCATATTTCCCCTCCAGTGACTACTAAAATGTAGCTTTCAAATCTCACTACGAAGCCTACAGTACATTGGCTCGAGTTCAGCTGCCTGGCACTGTGAAAATGCTCACACTAAATCTAATGAGTTATCTGAAATACAATGCTTTTGTGTATTGTGCACAGCTCAATCCTGATATTCTCTCTCTAGACAACAAATAAAACCTTTACCTTCATCAGATTTCTGTTGAGCAATCGTTAACAGGAAACAAATGACCAATTCTAAAATATCCCTATGTAACAGAGGAGGGTGCAAATTATGAGTCATCTATTGTAATTCCAGTAGTTATTCAAGGTTAAACAAATTAAATGTGTTAGACTTTTTGTGCATGTCAAGTTTCCTTTAAAGCTATATACCGTCGCACCCTGATTGAATCACTGAAATGCCCTGAAGCAGCACGTCTGCCTCACACACCTCACCTTCCTATTTAAAAAAAAAAGCACTCAAGATGTTTTTTTTACCTTAAGTATGACATAGAATGCTATTCCAAAACCAGTCCTTTTATTTTCACTCATTAAAGATATTTCTTGCTCAAGTATAATTCCCTAAATTTCACCCAGATATGTGAGAGAATTGAGTTGGTCTTTTACGCCCGATCTGTGATGTCATTGATGTGTTCAGCCAAACAGACTGCACAGAGAGGTATGACTGGCATCATGCTCGTGGATTAACCTGGGGATGGGAAATGATCTCATTAAAGGGACATTACACATAGACAAAATGTGTCTTTTATTTGCATACATAGATGGAGCATGTGGTAGCAAGGGGGAAAGTTAAAAATTGATTCAAATGGAATATTCAGGTTTTTGGTCCAGTAAAATTAATATTTTTGATCAGTTGTTTAGAGCATGGCATCCTGTATTTGTTGCAGTGGCCTTTTAATAAAACAACATCAAACGTATACTCCATATTAATTCACAAATGCTGTCAATTAACTGGATGGGCATCTGTAAATAAAATGCTCGAGTCATCTTTAATGTATTTGGTCAAAGGAAATGAAGCTCTGGCCTTTGACCTCCATACAAGTCTGTGAAAGTAAGTGTCAGAAAGTTGTTATGGAGGTAAAATGTTAGACGCACACGTACCCATTCATATCCATCAGAGCATCTCTGGGAAACACATGCCTGGTTTCAAAGATAAAAATCAAAATTTTTTACTGTGCATGTCAACAGGAGCTGAACTTTCTGGGTGGAGGCAGGGCTTAACATGCAATACAGGAAGTGGCAGCAGACAGACTCAACCACTCCACTCGTGCGGTTTTATTCTCCACCAAGGGTGCTTTCAGTGAGCAGACTGCTAAAAGATGAGAAGAAGGAAGACGTGGTGGGGGTACAATTGGAAACAGCATCAATGTGACAGGAACAGGAAGTGGTGAACTGAGCTAGATACCTGGTAACAACATGAGGCTGGTCGGTTCCTCGCTTCTTCTCACTGACTGTATATCATCTCAGCTGTTCCACATGTAGACTCCCTTGGCTTTATCATGTATTCAACGTATATCTGAAAGGAGCATTTTCAGACCCATCCGGCCTGGCACTTGTTTGATTTTTTTGGAGTTTAAAAAAATGACACAAAACCGTGCTGTGAATAGTAATGGTACCACAAAAAAAGGAGAGCTTAAGATTGTGATAGTGGGAGATGGAGGCTGTGGGAAAACCTCACTTCTGATGGTTTATGCTAAAGGGGATTTTCCAGAGGTAAGAACAGCTTTTATTTTATTTTTGCCTTATGACTTCAATTTATTTACATTGGTTAATTTGTAAAGATTTCCTGATCATTACTTCAAAGACATTCCTAACGTCAGACTAAATGATTACTCCAGCTGTAGTGTAACCAATGGGAACAGCATTATTCTCATTCTGTTTTAAATGAGCAGAAATGTATGAGAAGGTATAAATGTACAATAAAGTTTTATCTTGAAATGGATATCTTTCCCTTGTCTTTCAAAAACAGAAATATGCGCCGTCAGTGTTTGAAAAATATGTCACCACTATCACCCTAGGAGGGAAAGAGATAAAGCTCAACCTGTATGACACAGCCGGTAAGACGATGAGAAACCATCCTGTTATATTTCACTTAATGTTTAGAGACAGCAGGGTTTGGTGAGTGACACATAATGAGTCCACTGAAGGGCTGCCGGATTAGAGCACAAATCCTAATCACAATTATTTTTTAATAGATATTGAAATCACATTATTAAACATGATGTATTCATTATTTGTTTTTACAACATCTGCATCACAAACATTTATGGAACTTAAAAACTCCTTACACCACCGGAACACTGAAAAACAAGCAATAAGTGAAAATAAACAATTATTTTTTTTGTTTTAAATATTAAAATAATTATAGTAAATACAAATAAAACTGTGTTTTTCAGGTAGTGGAGATTTACTCTTGTGGCCAAAATATAACATGACAAAACGGGCACAACGTCATGGCACAATCATTTTTTAAATCTATTTCTCTTGTTTTCATGATCATGGGAAGCCAACATTTTAATTAAAAATTGAAACACAATGAATTCCCCAGCCAAAGTCCACTGAATGAAATACAGTAGAAACACTTTATATATATATATATATATATATATATACACACTATATATATATATATACAACACATATACTGGCATAGAGGGGGACACAGATGTGACTGCCCAAAGAGGGATAATTTCATTCTTTTTAAAAATATTTTACAAGATATCTAAGTGTACACATCCACTCACTATCTTTATATCACTCTGATGTAGACACAGAGGATGTGCATGTCATCGTCGTCATATTTTCAGGAACTGACACTGTTTCCATATTAGTTTCTTAATCCTATCAGGTATCAACTTTAGAGGCAAACTTTGTGCCAGAGATTGTTTTCTACTTCCAAAGTCAGCGAAAAACTGTTATTGAGTCAAACTCCTTATCTAATGCGTTATGCTAAATACATACAGTACAAACAAGTCTATCATGATGTTAGGTTTTATTTTAGTTATTGACCTCAGTGTCATACTTCAATATCATTTTGAGACTTTGACATGATGTTTTGAACACTTCATGACCACTGTAATGTTTTATTTCCTTCTTTTTGGACGCCTACACTTTACAACATCCGGTATCAAGGGTGCATTTAGGTCTATGTGCTGTTAGGTCAAGTTTCTCTGCAGAAAAGCTCAGTTTTAGTATAAAAATCTAATACGAATGGAAAAATTATCAATATTAAACATATTTCTTGTCAGTAGATCTATTTTCTAATATTTACTGATTTTAATGTATAATGTGATATGTGTTGTATTTTAATGGAGGTAGAAGTTCAGTTATTTGATTTTTAAAAATGAAATGCTTTGAAGAGAAATGCTCAAATGTGGCACATAAGGTTACTGAAGGCAAACTTCTTTTTAATGATTTGTAAATACATTGACATTTTGACTTGGCTGACAGGAAAACCCACGAAAGACCATTTTCAGAAAATACCATGACAGTCCGAGTTGGCAGCTTATCTCTGGTGCAGTTGCAGCAGTGTGCCTTACATCAGCGGAAAAGGAAGCTGAAGGCAGGATGTGGTTTTAAACATGCTCACAGACTCTGAGACATTCATATATCTTTATGTTCACAGTGTTCTTCACTAAGTGACCCCTTATGGTACACTTCTATTGTCCATGTACACATGAACCGTTTCTTTTTTGCATTTATTCTTCTGTTCATTTTTCAGTTCAGCACATATTTTGTACCCTTACTCTTTCAGGCCAGGAGGACTACGACAGACTGCGGCCACTTTCATACCAAGAAGCTAATCTGGTTTTAGTGTGCTTTGATGTGACCAACCCGACCAGCTTTGAGAATGTCATGATAAAGGTAATCTGTCTGCATGCCAAGTTTAACAAACACATCTTATGAGACAAGAATGTCACTGCTTAACCGCAGCTGCAGTTTTGCTTTCTACAGAATTTCTAAATGATTGTTAAGAGGCTGGCATGTTGGTGTTGGCTGCATTCCTTTTAGCTGTATGATTAACTCATGAAAGTGAGCCTGCATGTGGACATTGAACCCCCTTATGCACACAGATAGGGCTTGTAAACAGTGTTAGAATGCTGAGAAACAGAGTAATCCTGAAGCAAAACACAAATAATAAAGACAAGAAGACATGCAATATTTGTTTTGATTTCTATTTTTTTTTTTTCCCAACCAGTGGCACCCTGAGGTGAAGCACTTTTGCAGAGACACTCCAGTCATCCTGATTGGCTGCAAGACCGACCTCAGGAAGGACAAAGAATGCACGAGGAAACTCAAGGCCATGGATCTGGCTCCCATCACTTACACCCAGGTAAAGATATGAGAATGTGCACAAATGTTGTGATGTGCAAAATTGTGCATAATGTATGAGGAAGCGCCCTAACCAGGACCTAAAACTATGTACAACAGTTTGAATAGGACAGCAGATCTTTTTTCCAGTACACATTTTTCTTGATTTGTTTACTTCCCATAATTCTTGGTGTTACTGCTGGTTTGTTTGGGATCTGTAGGGTGAGGAGACCAGGCAGCAGATGAACGCAGAGCTCTACCTCGAGTGTTCGGCGAAGCATCAGGAGAATGTCGACGACATTTTCAGGGAAGCCACTAAAAGAACTCTGGCCTTCAATCGAAAACATAAAAAAAACACAAAGAGGTGTCTCATTTTGTGATGCCCAAAAAAAAAAAAGGACTGAGGACCGGGAGGAGAAACAGACTGTTACAAGGAAATAGTGACTGATATGACAGGAAAGCCAAATCTCTGGAAAAGCTGCAACAGTTTGGACTATCACTTGATTATGATGCAACATGAAATGCCTAGTATTTTTTACATTTTTACAAGAATCTTTTGAAGTGTCTTCGTATGGAAGTTTTGTTCTGTTACCTGTTTTGGGTATTTTAAATTAACCTGGCATTTCCTGTATGATTGAAGAAGATTTTAAGAGCTTTTTGTAATGATATTTTGAATGTCCTACCTGGTTAAAGACGCTGCTGTTACATAACAAACTCCCTGAAAAAAAGTTGGCGTATATAATGGTACTGTAGCTTTAAAAAAAAAACAAGAACACATAAGCCATCGATGAACAACACAGCACGGTTACTTCATTTCCAGTTTAACACTGAACAACAATTAGTCCTGGAGCAGTCTATCTGTAACAACAGTGCCCACTAGTGTTGGGAAAAAATAAATGTCACATTACACATTTGGGCAACATTTTCACAAGAGAAAATGAAAAGGTACAAAACTTTCTTTCATTATCGAAAAAGAGATTTAAAATGGTTATTTTTCATTTTGTGTTTAATTATCTATTCTTTCACAGTAACGTACACAGATGAAGAATCTGTCAACTGTCTCAGGGTGCTGATCAGACTCAGGAACCAGTTTACATTGTTGGATTGATCCATGGAAAACATGTTAAACATCAAGCTACATCATTAAAAGGAGAGAAACAAACTGTTAAGTGCATTCAGCTCTGGTATCAAATGTAATATTCTGGTGACTCCACGTGATCCAATATTCCCCCTAAATTAAAGTGAAAACTGATTCTCTTCTGCATGATTGCTTTGTGGGGCCCGACAAACATATCATAATGCTACTTCTTTTTGATTTGTCTAAAGACAGAATTTTTTGCCACGACAGGTTGAAGGGATAAAGCAGACGACAAAAAAACATTAGTTTGAAGTCAGCTGAACCGTTGCTTCAAAAACAAACAAGAACCAATGTGTAACATGAAACATGGACCAAAGGAGAACCCCCTCCCCCCCTACAGTGAACAAGAGTAACAGTTTTTTAAGATTTGGCCATTAGTTAGTAACTTTTATTAAATCATTACTAGCAGCATTTGATCATTTCTACAACACCATAGGACTAGAAAGGAAGAAATACATTTTGATTTCTCAGCACAGTAATGAAAAACCCAAAACTAAGTGAATCAAAGCTGAACGTCTCATGTCCCTTTTCGTAAAAAAAAAATCTTTGACAAGCAACTCTTAACCATGAAACATTTTGTAAACCTACATTTGTTTTTTTTTTTTTAAATGAATTAGCTAGCATTATGTTCGTGACAACACAAGAGTGTAATAGTTGGGGATGAGCTCACAAGAAGAACTCCTTTATCTTCAATCACTTTCCGTTGAGCCAGTACGAGCTTTCATGTGTCATGTGTTCATGTGACTGAGCTAGCTAACCCAGTTTAGGCATTAGGTCATACTATATTAAAAAAAAAAGAGAAAAATTTATGGCTTTTGTAACCGCTGCCTGAAGGGATAAACTGTGTTGTAGTTGGACTCTTTTGAAGAACTAGTAAACAACAAAAACAGAGCTACAGATATACAAAAAATACACCAAAGGGTTTTTTTTCTTCTTCTTCAGAAAAGTGTCATTTTGGGCAGTAAAGTATCACATGTATGTTTTTGTGAAGTTGTGGACCTACACTTGATGTAAGTCCAGTTAAAATACTGGTTAGCAGTGAAATAGCACACGAGGAATTTGAGGACTACACATAAAAAGTGGTATACTTGCGGTTGCCAAGTTGAACAGCTTTGTTCAAGCCAGAGACGGTTTGACCATCACTACTTCACAGAAGTATGAAGAATGTACACGACAGACTTTAGGTCTTCAAAAGGCAAACCAATGTTCTGCTCTGACACTTGTTGTTGCTACCTGCTCTCTTTAGTTTGCATAATGATCTGAACGAAGGCTCTCTGACATATTCATGCACGGACACAAACACCCAAAAGAAACACATTCTTTCCTCAATGTACAGGAGAAAAGCGACAAACTGTTCATCTAGCACAGAGACGCCACTTTGTGTGTTGTGACCCGGCTGCGCAGCAACATTGACGGCAGATCATTAGAAGCAAAATAAAATAAAAATAAAAAGCCTTTAGGCCAGAAACTTTGGCTGGACGCCGCTGCCATCATCGAAGCCTGAGAGGAAGAGTGGCTTCAAGCATCATCTTCTCCCGGGCCTGCTCACACCGTGGTCAAGTCTGTTTAGCGGTCGTGTGCGTTGGTGAAAATTACTGGCCGTTTTTTTAAGAATCTGAGGTGTGTCTCTGAGCTTTGTTCTCAGTCGTCTTTTTGCACTTTACCCTGGTTTTTCAGAATCTTTTGGTGGACGACTTTTAACGTGGTGAGGAAATTCCCCAGGAATAGGACAAGAAATGTCAGCGCCAGCATAAATATCTGAAGAAAAGTGAGAAACAAAATATTTGAACCAGAAAAGTCACAACACAAAAACTGTAGATGCATTCGTATTTCTACATTTAAACAGGTGGGATTACATTGTTTTCAAGGTAGTCTGTTTAATAAAAAAAAAGTGAATAAGCCACATGGGCTGCAGAGTCTACAAAAGCTTGTCATACTATTTATTTCCTGCAAACAATTAAGTTTATGGATCTGCCAATTTCATCTTTACCTGCCACTCCTTACAGTCCTCATGTCCTGCCAAGCGAAACAGGGTCACCGAGTTGTACAGCTGCCAAAACTGTGAAGGAAGAGGACTTATTATCTTTGATCCACGTCTTTCTCCTCAGCTCATACAGTCAGCCCAAAAAGGCAAACATTTACGCAATTACAAGCTTTTATACTGTCACATTAAAGAGAATGTGCTGTGGTGATTCTATGCAACATCCTCCTGATTTGAAGATATTTGGAATAAAGTGATACAGATGTAGTTTTGAGATTAAACTCAAGTTTGACTTACATGACCAAAGAAGAGAAATGGCAAAAGAAAGGTGAGGCCTCTCCACATCCAGGACTGAAACCCCTCTGCAGAGACACAAAACGCAAACAGTAACCTTTGGACAGCTTTACACAGAACACTTTATAAATGATTCTGTCCACCCTTGATCTGTGCAACAGCAGCACTACTGTTATTCGCAACCTTTCCCCTCCATTTCTCCCCAGACATGGCGTTGCAGATGGCTCAAGAGTTCAAACGATTGAAATGACTACAACCAAAAATAGCTTACAACTCACCCACTGTGAGGTCCAGCTGATTTCTCTCTCCCAGAGCCCGGAGCCTGTATAAGCAGCCGCTCTGGTAGTAATACTGCAGGAACTGAACAAAGCCTGGACCACAAAATAGAATGATTACAGCACAGAACACATCAATTAGTCTCAGCTACACGTTGAGGAGTTGAGCTTAGGACAAACTACTGACTACAGAAAACACAAGGCAACGCTTTGCCTGTAGTTAAGAGTTTTTAAATTGGGTCAAAAATAACACATCAATAGAGCTGTTCTGTTTTAGTTGAATGTTTTAAGCTATTTAAACAAGTGGTCATCTGTTTGTTTAACCATGTGACCCTATCACCCATTAACCTCAAACCTGAGAGCCCCATCATCATCATCATCATCATCAGAGGTACCACAGTATGAACAAGTACAAGTATGTGGGAGCAGTGTTCCTAGTCACAACTGAAGTTCAGTGGAAACACAGAAGCTATTGTAGAACGTGGACAACAGAGAGCTATTCATGTCGCTTTTATCCAAAGTCTTTTAGCCATCTCTTTTATCAGCTGCTTATTGGGTCGGCAGTGGAAGACAAAAACAGTCTTAATGACATTGTTTCCAGCTAAAAGATCGGAAACTCGCTCTGGAAGAAAAGTTGGGTCCGGAAAGCAAAAGCGTTATAAGTCAGTCGGACAAAATCCTGTCTTCTGAACTCTCTTTAATGGCGCCAAGATAGGGATGTAACGATTCACTCAACTCACGACACGATTCACGATACTGGGTTGACGATACGATTCTCTCAAGATTTATTTTACAAGATGACACTGTAGACAAATTAAGACCGAAAAAGATTCCTAAAGGGACTGCAAACTGGCTTGTCAGTGTGCTTTGGCCTTCTAATGTTTTTTGTTTTTTTTCTCGCAACAAGGGGAGGTGATTGGAGCTTCTCGTTGTGGTGTTGATTAAATGCTGCATCATGTTGGTTGTGCTATTTTTATAGCTCCTTGTTCTCACAGCCGATCTGTTGTCACTGACCTATCTGAATGCTGAATTAAGTGGTTTGAATCTTGAAAACTAACACGTGATGTTCTTATTTATGACTTGGAAGTAGCAGCGTGTGAAATGAGGTCTCTTCCCTTTTCTGGTGAGCACACAATCTCACACAAACACGCATCTATTTCAATGCAGTTCATGTTAGCAGGCTAGAAGCGACGCATCTATAGTCTAATGTCCTCGATCAACAGGAGCGTCGTAACAATCCATTTTAATATTTCACCTGAGCTGCTGCCTCGTTCATGTGTTTGATCACTGAGATGTTTCTGTTCAAATCTGTGTCAGCTTTTCCAAACAAATACACGCATTTATAAACATGTACTCATTCAAATTCTCCTTTATCTTTGGATATGTGAAGTGTTTGTTTCCCGTTAGTCATCAGCCTGGCAGCATGTTGCAGTATGTCTACAATAGTCAATAGTGGTTTGTGCACGTGTATGGAGGCTACAGTACTCCAAGCAGGAAGCCCAGGTTCAAATCCGACCTGTGGCTCCTTTCCTGCACGTCATTCCTCTCTCTCTCTCTGATTTCTGACTCTATCCACTGTCCTATCTCTACAATAAAAGCACAAAAATAAATATAGAAAAAAATTCAATAGTGGATCAAACTTTATTGTCTGTTGTCTCAAATCCTGCAGTTGTGAGTATTATTTTTGTTTTTGTTTCGTACTTGTCCTTGATTTTAATTATTGTGTTTTGTCTATCTTTACAGTCAAACCTGAAAAAAGCTAAATCAAATATTCTATTCAAAAAAAAATAAGTGCATCAACACTTGACCAAAGTCAATTAAAAAAAAAAAACTGTGAAATGATAAAAGTTAATAAAAACAAGGCACCAGAAGTTCCCTGTAACATCACAGCAAAGGCTAAAGTTACCACTGCTTTAATGATAATCCACTTGTTGCTGTCTGTGCTAAAAATAGATTTTCTAAGCTGAGGTGAAACAGTCCTATCAAACAGAGAAGAGATGTTTGTGTGTTCATATGAAAGTCCCGTTTCATGTCATTTTAATGAATCTACATCCATTAAAATGACATAGTCATAGTCATAAACACAGTAACACAAATTTCTGGTTATGATCAACTAATAATAATAATAATAATAATAATAATACAAACACACATAAATAAATTCAATATGCGCTCATATCTAGTTCTACATCTAGAGAACAGATTCACGTCTTACTTTGATATATGGAGAAAGCGAGAAACTGGCTTCTGAACATCTGATACATGGGCCCCTCCGGCCTGTGAGAAGACAAAAAAATAAACATTAAACAAAAACTCAGCAGGGAAAATGCAGCTTTTACTGCTTTACTAGTTATTAACCTGCATGTGTTTTTACCCAAGTTCAAAATAAGACAATCCAAATCAAAAACTCACCAGGTGAGCATCACCCCTGACAGAAAGGTCGACACATAATGGTGAGACACCCACCAACCTTTGATCCTGTGAAGCAGAAAAAGTATTATACAGAGTCATTCGACGAGCACATTTTCAGACACAAATCTGCTTATCGCACACACCTGGAGCCGTTACTCATGAGGATGCTTTCCCTTATGGTCAGCGTACAGTAGTACCACACGAGCAAAAAGTTGAAAATTTCATCAGTGACTCTAAACAGACAGAGAGAGAGAGAGTAAAATAGTAGAGCAACCCTTTCAATAGGTCTCAGGCAAGAAGCAGAATTGTTCAGGAGCATAAGGGATCTCACCGATAGTTGAGAAAGAAGAGGCAGGTTATTGCTCCAAACATCAGGATTATTGTCATATAAAGCTTAAACTTCTCGTACTCGTCTTTGTATGCAAATCTATGGAAGAAAAATAAAAGATGAATCCAAAGTCTTCAACTGTTTTTCTTGTAAAGCTGCTCTGAAGGTTTTTTTTTTTTTTTTTTTTTTACTTACTTTGTCTGGTTGCTGAGAAGAGTTACGTTCACGTTACCCAGGACCAAATTCAGGTAAAGTCTGAAAACACAAACACACCAAACATGTGAGAAATAAAAAAATCTCATTGTCTGTAATGTAACCTTACTTTATCGATGGAAACAGTACATACCCGTTTCTCTTTGGTAAATAAGCTTCCATATCAAAGAAGACATTTTCTTTTTCTTTGATTTGTGTTTTGATGTCCGTTATAAGCTCCAAGTCTTTTTCATCACATGTTTTGGCACATCTTTGAAGGAAAGATCACATGATTGAGGGGAAAGTTAGCAGGAAGAAAGTTGATGTAGATATAGCAGATAATAAGAAATCATTTTAAAGGGTATAAATTAACTTATAAAATATATACATATAAAATCTAAAAACAATCAAATAGAAAATGGGAAAACACATTTTTTTTTGGACAGCATAGAAAAATAAAAATGAATCATTTTGTTTTATTTTGAAAAGTCATACTCAACTTTCTCTTGTCCCCGTATTTTCTTTTCATATCAAGCGACGCAGAAAAAATGTCCCAAAACAAACTATCTGTAAAAGACTCCAAATCAAAGAACACGTACTTCTTCAAGCTGTTCCGTAGGTCCTTGAGGCCTTTTCTCTGTTTACTGATCGAACTGCTGCAGGTGGCCTGAAGATTGGTGAGCTCCTCAAGTTTTTGTCGGTAGACTTTGTGGGTTTCCTAGTGACCAAACATAAAAAAAAAACACACACAGAATGAGTATAGAAATGTTGAAATGGCTGCTGGCACTCAATAACAAATGTGTCTTTTTGGTAAATTAAGAGAAATCAAGACATCAATACTTTTAAGTGAAACGACAAAGCACTGCTGATGGATGATTAAGACTAATATGGAGAAAGAAAAAAAACATCAGGTTTGTCATATTCCCCTGAAAATGTTTCTCTGAAAGATTGAATGTGTATCCTAATCTCAGCCGAACTTAATTTCATCTCAATGGACGGCACTGAAAAGGTGAACAGGGTGTCTTTTCATAAGAGATGCAGAGGCTTCAACCTGTGAAATCTTGCCTGACCTTTCCTATGTGGACACAAACAGCCCTTCAAACTGAATTACATGCTGAAATTTGTATTCCAGTATTTATCCACCCATCTATGCTTGTGAACCAAACCACAGCGTTCAGCCACACTGTCGTCACTTTATCCCCCACAGGCTCATGAGACTGGACCGTGTTTGTGTGTGTTTGTGTGTGTGGAGGAGAGGATGCACAGTCAGCAGAGATAATCCTTTGGTCTACGGTAAAGGGCTCATTCTCAGACCCCCATAGGTACAATTAGACCACAACAAACCTTTTTATGTTATTCAATAGATAGCCGAAAGTGGGCCACTCAAGAGTTGTTTTCGCAATGTAAAGCAAAGTTGGACATATTTTAATTGGGACTTTTTTTTTGTTTGTTTGCTTTTTAAATCAGCCGTCCGACTACATATGAAAAGTAATACTGATGCACAACTGGATATTGAAAAACATTTAATGGGAGTCTATACTTAACTATCGGACACTCGTGTGGTGTCTTTGCAACCCCCGGCTTTAAGATAAGCAGCATCCTAAAATCTCAAAGGCATCCTGACCTTCCAGAGGGGACAATAAAATGTACACAGCTGCTCACATTGTATTCCACCAAACACCAAATCACAGTTTGTTTTTGCACATAACTAATCAAAAAGAGGTGTTATACTGAAGGGGTTTCTATCAGTCAACCCCACTGAGCCCCCCCCTCCCCAGTGTTAAGGCTTGAAATGCCTAACTGGCTTAAAGAGACTGTTTCTTGGCAGGTGACACGTTTGAACCTCACATGACAAAAGCTGACAGTCACCTTTTTTTAAACCATCCTTCCCCACGGAGCAGCTCCACATTGTGTATGTGGGATTGCATCACTGCTACACATCTCAGCAGCTGGAGGTGAGCAGTGGTTCGGCCACAACACCACGTCATGAAACATGATGAACCGTAAAGTGAGCGGTATTCTTAAATAACATCTTCTACTTCCAATTATTGTTTCAACTTAGCCAGCTAGCAAACAAGAGCTAGCTTTTCAATGATTCATTCATTCCACATAAAATAATTTACAGAAGCAAAGCACTAGAAAACACCTGAAGTTTTTCATTTTCCACAACTGCCTTTGGATAACTTTGTTAGCAATTATTAAATAATATTTCCGGCTGTATGCTGCTCTGTGTTGGCAGGCTAAGTTACTATAGCTGCTCATTAGCCGTGCAGACAGACAAGCAACCTGCTGCTAACGTTAGCTCCTCTAACACAAGGATGTTGCAGCAAAGCCTGATAAACCTCCAGTGTCACACAATGCACCCCCTCAGAAATTGCTTTCAACGGAGCAGATATTGGCCCAAATGCTGCGTTTATGACTGGGCTGAGAATGAATGACGAACAAGAAGAAAGAGGCATCCAAACTATCGTAGCCGCCAAAGAGTGTCGGCTGTCAGTCCCATCCTAAGCATGCTACAGGCAACAATCTACCATGCATGATGTACTCATGTAAGTGTGTTCTTTCACCTGTAATTGTTGATATTCCACATCAATTTCCTCCCAATCAGACTGAAACTTCGGTTTGGACATTGTGGCACAGTCGCTGATGTAGAAAAAGAGGACGGCTTCTCACGGATCCACCCTGAAAGTCTCTCCTCACACTGACTGTCCACTCAGAGCTGTTTTACTCCCGGGGGGGGTACATGGCGCATGCGCACATCGTTTTAACAGTCCGGACAGAAACAGTGGTTTAAAGAAAACACACAAAATAATAAAAATAAAAATATATATTTAAAAAAATAAATAAAAAGCCGTAGTCATTAAATGGACCTTCCAGACACATTTCACTGTAATTTAAAATGTATTTTAAAATTTGTTTTCCACTGCGCCCGCAACAGCGCACAACTCTGTTGCTAAGATACAGTAAATACTCGGCTCCCTCGGTTGCGGAAACCACTTAGTAAAGTTTACACTGTCAGCTCTCTCGCATGTTTAGTCAGTTTATTCGTTAGCTACATGGCCTGCATCCACAAGCGGATTGAGTTTAAGTAAGTCAACCGCAGGGACACGTCGCTAAGGTAAAAATACTTTGCTTTGAATGAGTGAATGAGTGTTTGGTAGCCATGTTTATTTGTGTAGCTGCTACTGTACATAACTAATGTCAACAAATCAAATGTAGTCATATTCTAAAAGTGGTTCACAACTTTACATCCTATGTTCTGAAGTAGTTTTTTTTTTGTGAGATTTCGTTATTTGTACTACATCAATAATATCCACAGATAAGGGCAAAATAAAAACACTCTGGTAAAAAATAAATAAATGTTTGCATTAGTTTTTTGTTCAAATATTTTGTTTCATAAAACTTCCCCATCCCTTGTGCTTTATCAGATAACATAAAAAAAGGAAATTGTGGTAAAAGAAGACTAATAGATTTATTTGTTCTCCTTTTTTTATAGTATTGTTTGTTAATGTGGGAAAAGCTTTGTGAGTCTAATATGTTATTTATGTCCTTTTCATCAAGCTCCCGCCAGCCATGCCAAATTTTAAAACAGCACAAATAAAGCAGCCACGCTCAGAATTGTTGGATAGCAAGTCACAGAAATGTGGACTGCGGCATACAGTGTTCGCTGTCAATGGAAATGAATTTACTGGAGAGTGGAAGGACAACAAGAAGCATGGTGAGATATACTGTTAAGTGTGAGCTTCTATGACCATTTCTGTGGATGCCTTAGCATTATTATGCTATGCTTTAGCTGAAATGTTTGCTTAAATCATTCCTCAAGGAAAGGGAACTCAGGTGTGGAAGAAGTCTGGTGCCATTTATGATGGAGAGTGGAAGTTTGGAAAACGTGACGGACAAGGTACCTACAGTGTGCTTCTCCCAGAAAGGAAGGAGTATTCAAGGAAGTACTGTGGTGAATGGAAGAATGGAAAGAAGCATGTATGTACTGATTTCTATTCTTCTACACAGTATAACAAATGTATACAATGCATTGCTTACATCACTCTATATCTCTTTAGGGGTATGGGATGTACTTCTACAATAACTCATCAGTTTATGAGGGGGAGTGGAGCGAGGACTGTCGGAGTGGCTGGGGAAGGATGTACTATGAGAGTGGAGATATCTATGAGGGAGAGTGGCTTAAGGATAAGAATCATGGGAAAGGCATCATTCGATTTGGTAAGAGGACTTTGCCTTAATACATTTTGTGTGTTTAGTCGGGCAGAGTTTGGAGATAATTGGAGAAATATGACTTCACAACTTGTTTTCAAGCTAAAGGAAATCGGCATGAAGGCACGTGGCAAGACGGCCTGAGAAATGGACATGGAAAGTTCTATTACTCCGATAAAGGCCAGCTTTATGAAGGCTTCTGGGTGGATGGAGTAGCAAAATGTGGGACCCTGTCTGATTTTGGAAGGGATGAAGCACCAACACCAACAAAGTATCTAATTCCCCAGGTACATCATTTTGATGAAAGACACTTCTACAAATCAGTCTACAAGCAGTCTGTCGTATCTTATGTAACACTATCAAATAATCTTGAATAAAAATGCTAATTTCCTACGCATATGTGTTGGTTTGAACATAAACATTTCCAATTCTGTTTTTCCAAGGTTCAACTGGTGGATACGCAGTCGGTTTTAAGGGAAGCCCAGGCAGCCTACCTTAAGCAGTGCTGATGAAGAACAAGAAGAAGCTCAAAAGCAAGTTTCCACTCGGCCACACACTTACTGAACGGGAATAAAACAAATGGCATGATTTTATTCAGTATAGTCAGATTTGTCTTAATATTTACACCCAAATAATAGTTCTTGTTCATAGTATAAAACAAAAACATATGGAACTACTTCAAATGAACTGAAAACAGAGGTAATATAAAGTCATGTTTATCCAGTTTACTGCTAACACAGAGAGTGAAACACAGCTCCTGTCATGAAGACAAAATGTGCTAATTCTTATTACTGCACGAACAGCTAATTTCTTCCTGAAACATCATCAACTTAATGGTATGTCTTATTACACTGTATTGAAGCTGGATAATTATATTAAAATAGTATAAGCTACCCAAGCTTGTCATGATCAATTAAATAGTAGCATTAGCATAGCTATAGTTAACCAATCATATAATAGTCTTTCATGTGTTTTCTGTTTGGTGCAGTTGTAAATAACCAGAGGGTGAAAGTCCATGTGTTTATATAACAGTTTACTTCTGACCTACCCATTCATTACTAATTCTCTTTTCATTATTCAACTAGAGCTCTAAACCTGTTTTTTTTTCCATGGTTATGGTGGAATATTTGCACTACAACATCTCCTCACCATTACTTTTCATCACACCTGGGCTTCTCCAAACATATCTGGACTTTAACACCTCCAGAACAGACTGCTAACTCAAATGAATACATTTCTTTAAGTTGTTGAGAATGAATTTCCAGCTCGATTATGTTTGAATAAACAACCGTCTGATTGAAGTGGACTATGAATGCAACATGCTAATTCAGGAGTGTGAAGCAGGTGGGGTGCTTGGGCTTTACAAAATAAAGCCGATGGCGCACTAGTGTCTATGAATAAAATAAATCTCAAATGTGATTATGCAGCACATGTAATGAATCAGGATTACATACGTGTTTAGTGGATTTTTCAGAATTAAGATGACAATATATTTGTATTGTGTTCCCATGAACTTCAAATGTAGCATTTGCTCAATGTTTCTAAATGTCTCATGGAAGCAACGACATAACCTCAAACAGAACCCCACGACTGATTCAAAACAGTGTCATCCATTTTTTTCTGCATTCCAGAGCTACATGTTTGCTTAAACTGTGCAAATAATGAAGAATAAGTCACACAGATAACATTACACAGTATATTGTTTTTCATAAAGTACATTCAGATTATTTTTTAAAACACTAAACATTTGGATGTTGTTTCATACTAAAGTGTTTTATTTCTAACAAGTCAGCCTGAGCTACAGATGTCGGCATATAGTCTTTAAAAGTAATACTGTTGTTTCGGCAGTCAGTCTATGGCAAAACAGAGAACATTACAATAAAACAGGTACACAGTGAATAAGAGGGAGTAAAATACTTGTGTTTTGTAAACCACAACCAGGTCATATATATCAACAAATGCAGTGTTCACTGAAAAACAGGTAAATTAGTCCAGCAGGCAACAGACAAACTTCAGAATTATTGTTCAGATATATATTGTGGGCCATAATGTTAGTGATAAATCAAGCAGCTAGCACAGTTAAGACTTTACAATTTCAAGTTCCATGCATTATGGCAGATTTGTGAATTCACAGTTGATCAAACCTGTTCTAAAAAAATACAACTCTCAACAGAAAAGTAAATTTCACAACAAATAGATGAACATTTTTCATTTCTTTAAAAAAAAAAAAAGAAAAAAAATCAGAAGCCAACAATTTGGCTTCTAAACTCAGAAAAATTCTAAGGAGTCAGACTTCCACCATATGTCCCTCATACTATTTCTATGGAAAATGTGAGTTTGGAGACTGCAGGATGGAAGATTCTCCTCTGTTATCCAGCTCGTTTTGTAGCCTGGTGAGATTAGATAGCTCCTCCAGCTCCTGAAACTGTCTGTCGGTCTTGTGGCTGACCAATGAGCGGTAAAAATGCACAGCAAAAACAATGAAGACTAAACCAAACGGGACCATTATGGAGGTTGAGGTGATAGCAGCAGCCACACCGGATGAAACTGTGCTATTACTGGACTTGTTTGGCTTCACAGGCAAAAATTTGACCCAGCAGAGCAGAACAACCTCAGCCAGGAAGAGCAAAGTGCCTATTACTGTGGAAAAAGCCCACGCCAGTTCAATATGCCGGTGCATTCGCTCATGAGGGGACTCCTTCACAGAGTTGAGGTTGTGGACATTGCTGACAGCCTCGATATTGGGCAAAATGCAGGTGCTGACCATCAGAGCGAACAGGTGCACGGCAACAAGCACAGTGGTGCAGGCACTGAAGGCAATGAGCAGGGCAGGTGGGTATGGATAGCTGTTGTCCAGCTGCACTTCCACCATTGCCACCTGGAGAGAAGAAATCGGAAGAGAACAGGAAACAACTTTACATACGCCCGCACTTGTCTAATGACTACGTGAGCAAACACAAGAGTTGAATTGTGACGATGTTACCATAGCAAATCCAGAAAGAAGGGCTGATGTCCGACTAGAAGCCTTCAGTTTAGCTCGACTCAGGTACAGCTTTCTCCAAGACAGAGCTTGCAGTGAATGCTCGTTCAGACTCATGTTGCTCCTGTTATCAAAGGACTGCACGAGCAGCGCTGACGTAGTTACCTTGTTACTGAAGCGGAACACGACAAAAACAAAAGTTCAACATGCTAACAGTGCACACTCAAAAAAAACCTTTAAAAAAAAAAAAAAAAAAATCTCCTACTGACGAAACCGTGGAAGCAATTTTTCAGCAGCACTCCCCCGGCTCGTTGTGCTGCTTGCCTACACCTTGCATTACCCATAAGCCTGCGCGCTCAGAGACAGAGAGAGTGGGGGAACATCCGCTCTGTGGTTTTGCGTTTGCTCGGTTAAACGGATTACTAACCTGCGCTAAGTTAATGATGTTATAACAACCACATTAAACGTGTCAGAGCTTCTTTAAAAAAGGGTTTAGTCAACAACAACAACAGCAACAACGATTGACCACACATGCACCAGTCCACGTGATTCAAATCACGTCCAAAGCACTAAAGCTGGAGTTATTACAATAAGAATGAATGAATGAGCATTTTTTTAAAGGGACGCTATTAGGACATTTTTACGCATGTGTGTGTTTTTTTTTTTTTTTTTTAATACGGAAGACGTAAATAGACAATGATTATGATTAATTGTGATTTTAATTGTTTCGGACCCCTAACAGAGAGCTCCCCGTTTGACGTGGATGCTTCTCTTTCTTTGTAGTAGCATTGGAAAAAGCAAGTGAACTAACACACCGTGACGTTGCCCAACAATGTTTTGGTTCCTGACGATGACGTAACACACAAAAACATGGTTCCCTTGTTTTGAACCTGCAAAAGCGTGCTAAATGTTTCCTTAAGTTCACTACGCACGAAGATGCTCATCCAACCCTGAATGACCGGGAAACATTCACAAGAGACGATGGCTCAGGCCGTGGAAACGTGTGCCGAATCCGGACGCAGGCTGGTGTGTACCATCTGCCGTGTTAATGTTAGCTTATGAAGGCGAGATTGGCAGCGAGCTAATTAGTAAGCTAAGCTAACGTGTGCAGCTTTGGGATATTTGTCAAGTAACCTAAGCAGTTCAAGTTAGAGCCTACTAGGGAAACTATTGCATTTTATATGTGATAACTTCTCATATATGTTATGTAATATAAATAGTGTGCTGTAGTAGAGTCATGATAAATCAATATTTATATCAGGGAACACTATGGAGTAACGCACACATGTCTTAGTGTCGCTTGTTATTCTGTGACATCACATTTAAGAAAATAAACATGACTGCAGTAAACTGAAGACCCTTGCTACACTTGTTAAGTAGGCTGTGGTATAAAGATAAAGGTCCAGTTAACTTTCCATGGTTTTATTCTGTCTGTTTTATGGAGAGGTAAATGCTGTTTTATGGTGGGTGGGTTGGTGGGGGGGGGCTGTTTGTGACAGGAAGAGTTTGCTTTCCACGCGTGCTGCAGTTTGGGGAATGTAAATAAATGTCGTTTTCAATGGCAGCGCTCCATCTGCCGGAGGATGTACGACGAAAACGAGGATTTGTCTGACGTGGAAGAAATTGCAAACATCCGAGGTTTCAGTGTGGAGGAAAAACTCGCCAGTGACAGTTACAGTGCAAAATTTGTCCACTCCATGGAGGGTAAAGGTAAAGCATCACACAGCACATCGTATTTTCTTTCCAAAAGCTGCTATTATTATTATTATTTTTGATGTACAAGATGCATTGTTTACAATAATTTCAAGCTTTTGTCTGGAACATTGTCTTGCAGACTTCTCTTATGAATATGTGCAGAGGGAGGCACTCAGGATACCACTTATTTTTAAAGAGAAAGCTGGATTGGGGATCAGGTGAGAAGCAATTTATGGAAAATCACCTGTCAGTTAGTTGTCGAATATATTCTTAGATAGTTTGTCATTTTGGTGGAACCTTATTTGTATTTGTTGTACTGCAATGTCGTGAAATTGTATCAAATCTCTCTCTTACACAGAATGCCCGAACCAGAATTTACAGTGAGTGAGATTAAGGGTTTAGTCGGTAAGTACAATGCTTCTTACACACACTTATGTACAGTATATGCACATACATATCTTTAGTGATGCAGCAGTTAGATGGGTTAAACGAAGCAAAACGTTGGGTGAAAACGTCCACCTGCTAGTTCAGAGGATTAAAACAGTTGGAGCAAAAATCAGGGAGGTTAGTAAATTTGAGTTTTTTGAAGTTTGAATTCATTTGTCATGGCGGATGCAAAACCCCTCCAACACAAAAATTCAGTCAGTGGGTGGAGTAATCGCACTAAATGAAACCTACAATTATCTGTATGTGCACTAAGTAGCAGACTGATCCATGGCATTATTCACTTTCACAGCATGCTTTAAATAAAAATGTGTAAACAACCCCAGCTATAATGGCTTATGTTGTTGCTATAGCATCTTTTTATCGCTTACTGTGTCATTCTTCTGTGAAGTGGAATGAAGTTTACAAATTAAAAAGATTATGAGCAAAATGTTTTATTCATTCAAGTAATATCTAACTTTAACATAACATATTGTTTTTGGTTGATCTTCTCTTCTAACATTTTTAAGTGTGTGATTGATCTTTAATGTTTGTGTCTATATGTCTTCTCTCACACAGTGTAGGCTGTTCTTTATCCTCCTTTAAAAAAACTCAACATGTTTAAATGTACTTTCTTACACCTTTTATTCATTATGAACGTCATAATGTCAAAGAAAATGGAATTTCTTTGTGTTGACAAATGTGTTTTGAGAAGCCTGAAAGAGTTATGTCTGAAGACTTTAGAGGCGTCATTGCTACATCTAGTGGAGAAGGTAGTGCATTGCAATCACTAGGACAGTTCATGATTCAATTTTTAAACTGTCAAATACAAATGCATATTTTCCTTGTATCAATCCCACAAAATAATAAATAATAATAATAGTAGTAATTATTACATTAGAATAATAACAACAGCAATAATAACAATCATACTAGTACTAATAATACTACTATTACTACTACTACTAATAGGATTAATTCACTTTCTGTTGTGATTGTGGCTTGCAGGCAGCCGTCGGTCTGTGGATGTTATGGATGTTAGCACCCAGAAAGGCTCTGAAATGAGCATGGCCCAGTTTGTCCGTTATTATGAGACACCAGAAGAAGAGCGGGACAAACTCTTCAACGTCATCAGCTTAGAGTTCAGCCACACTAAACTGGAGAACCTCATCAAGCGGCCCACAGTGGTAATTTAACATGGCGCTATTTCATTAAAGGTTTACATGAAGGGCATAAGGGCATGTCTCATGCATCTGGTACTGCAATTAAACAGAGTGTGATGAAGACATTCCCATAATAGAGTCGTTCTGTGTTCTGTCACAGGTGGATCAAGTGGACTGGGTGGACAACATGTGGCCTCCTGATCTCAAACACAGCCAAACAGAAGCAACCAATGTCATCTCAGAAATGAAGTACCCTAAAGTGCAGAGGTATGAGCTGACTGACATTTTTCTGAGCTCAGTGTCAGTCTGTGTGTGAAAAGAAAGAGAAATGTGTGGGG